ACCGTGGGGTCACAGCCCCGGGTCGGCGGGGTCACAGCTGCTCCGAGCACAGCGCGCTCCCCCAGAGGCCCCGGTTCAGTGGACCAGGGATGGGCTGAGCTCGGGAGCCAAAGGGCACACCCTCAGCTCCAGTGCGGTGGCTCCCTCTCACCCACGCAGGGACCCCGTGACATCCGTCTGCCTTCTCTTCTCCTCTTCATCGTCTCTTCCCTCTTCTCTCCTTTCCTTCTCTTCTCTCCAAGCCTGAGTCCTTTCACCTTTGGAGCCCAAAGAGGTGAATGGTTGGGAGAGGCGATTGCAAGGTCATCCCAATTTTCTTTTGTTTCTTGTGTGTTACCATGGATGTTATCTGTCAGAGAGCCCCTGGAGCCTAATTTCTTAAGCTAATCTGTCTCCTCCCACTTGCTTCCTCCTGTGTTCCTGAGTGGCTGGCCATCAGCAGAAGGCCTGTCATCCTGCCCTTGTTGTGCTTTTCTACTTACTCTTCCACGTGAGTTGAGTCCACCTTACTATGCTTCCTTGAGAACTGGGGACAAGTCTAGCACCTTCTCTGCCCCTGCCCCTGCCCATCAAATGCTGCTGGTCCCTGGATGGCCCCTTCTGGTGCTCTGTTTGCCAGCAGCAGAGCCAGCCTCTTATTAAGGTAGTGAAATTTCATGCATTTACACAAACTAAAATTGGATGTCACATGTCCCTTAGATTTCTAAGCCTCTCATTTACTGTCGCTTTCTCAGAGCTCTGCCTTTGGAGCAGCTCTGTTGAACTTCCTCCTCCTGACCAGTCCTTTCTCCCCACTTCTGTTTCTAGATTCGTAGATGTCACATAGCTAAAGGATTTCACATGGCTCAGTGGGATGCAGTGAGCCCCTGCAGTCTGTACACATAGAATTTCTCCTGCTTGGGAAGTCTTTCTTCTGTCAGGTTTTGTTCATCTGGTCGGGCACCTCCTCCAGGAGAAATGGTGCGCTGGATGGCTTCCTTGTGCCCCACATCTGTTATCGCCTACTCATGGCTTTCATCCCTCTGGCCTTTTTCTCTGCATTCTGGGGGAGCTTTTCAGGTTTATTCTCAACAATACTAATCTCATCGTGTGCAATGCTGCTTCTGCTTCGTATGCGTCCAATGAAGACTTTAATTATGCTGCTGCATTTTTAATACCCCGACAGCCCTCCTCATCTCATCGTTGTCCCTTTCCAACATTGCTTTTTTATTTCAGCCTATTTTTCTGCAGTTGTATCACAGAAACCAGTCTACTGATGGTGCCAAACAGCTTTCTCGACATTTTTTCTAGATCCAGGGATGGGGCATTTTCAGAGCCATGTTGTTCTTCTCCGTCTTCTAGATGCGATTCCTTTCCTTGTTCTGTATTTCTGTGAAGACTTTTTTGTCTTTACCTCCAGGCATGGTGAGGTCTGTTCACACTCGATGCTCGTCAGCAAGTGGCACGTGACAGCTGTCCGTGATGCTCCCCTCTTCCCAGCAGCGTCATGGCCAGCCCTTCTTAGAGCCACAGTCAGGGCAGGTGGAGGGTCACAGATCCCAGTCCAGGTCCTAGCAGCTTACCCGGTGTACACGTTGGCTAGAGAAAGGTAGCATCTTCTTGCCCCAGCCCCTTTCTTGTTCTCTCAGTCTCTGGACTTCTAAACCCAGCATTGAGAATCCGAGAATGCAGCATTACAGATTTGTTAACACCTCTCACCTCTTCCTCTTCTGGTTTCCCCCACCTGCAGTGCCCTCAGAACATTCTGTATCCCCACCAGCCCCTGCTCTGCCTCCTACCCCTTTATCCTCTGGGAATCAATGACCAGTCTGTGTAGAGGACCATTGCTGGGGAGCATGCAATTCTTGACACTCAGAGCAGCACCAGGATCCCCTCTTGTACAGACCCTGAGTCTGTAGCAGACAATGAAGACAGCGTGTTTTCCTTTTCCAGGCAGTCTCTACTTGACCAGGAGAAGCCTGGTTGTACCGGTAGGTGAATCCAGCTCTGTCTGCACATGGTCAGCGAAGAATCATCCCAAGTCCTGGCATCAGTTTCCATTTCTTCTTTTGTTTTCTCTGCTTCAGTGAGTAATACTTCTATCCACCCAGGTACCCAGCCTGGAAACTGCAGCATTATCTCAGACTCCTGACTCCTGTCCCTCCCTCACTCCCACATTCTGTGTGTTCTCCAGGTATCTCTCAAATGTACTCCTCTTGCTGTGTCCCCCATTTTAGATACTTCTTACCTGGATTTTGTCAATAAATTGAACTCTCAAGTGTCTCCCCCACCCCGGGCCCACTTCACCCACAACCTCTTGCATGACCCATCAGCCCACGTCCTTGAGGTCATCCTGGACTCCTTTCCTTCCTCTCTTCCTCTCACAGCCTGCACCTGGTCTACCAGAAAATCACTGTTGGCTCTACCTTCCAACATGCCCAGAATCCCAGTGCCTTGCACCCCTACACCTTAATCTGAGCCACTGACATCTTCTACCCAGGCAGCCTCGGTGCCCTCCTGACTGGTTTGTCCACCTCTGCTTCTGCCTTCTGTGGTCTGTCATCGACTGCACAGCCAGAGTGATCAGCTTAAAGCACACATCATGTCACTTGTTTGCTCAAAACCCTGAGATGGCCCCTCTTTCCCTCATAACAGTGACTTCTAAGGCTCCTCCCCAGCCCTGTCCTGCTGACTCTCAGACCTCATCTCCTGCGGCCCCTGCCCTGTGATGCTGCTCTCGTAACCCCACTGCTTCTTGCTCTTTCCATAAGCACACCGGGCCTTCCCCTCAGCTGTTCCCTCTCCCTGAGATGCTCTTCCCTACTATCCCCAGGGCTTAAACTCCTCTTCTCCTTCAATTTTTTGTTCAAATGTCACCTTCCCAATGAATCCTGCCCTGATGGCCCTGTATTAAATTGCAGCCCTGTACCACTCCCGATGCCCTGTTCTGCTCTCCTGTATCTTTTCCCATAGCATCCCCACCTAACATATAATGCGCTGATTTGTTACATTTATCTTTGCTGCCTGTACCCTTCTTTCGGATACAAGCTCTGTAAGAGAAGGAGCCCTTATCTGTTTTGTTTGCTGATTTATCCCAAATGCCGGAAACAGTGCCTGGACAGAGCAGACACTCATTAAGTATTTGCTGAAGAAATGAATGAATGAATAGCATTCTGCTTAGTCTCCCTGACTATATTTTGGCAGCATCCAGACCAGCACTAGCCAATCAAAAATCCTGCAAGTCATAGATGCAGATTTAAAAATGGTTTCTAGTAGCTGCATTCAAAAAAGTGAAATAGATCAATTTTATTTTAATTATGTATTTTAAGAGTATATAATTTTATCATATGTTTTTTAAAATATATGTTATTTAACCCAGTCTATCCAAAATATTATCATGTAAACATGTAATTGATGTAAAAAAGCTATTAATAACTTTTATATTTACCTTTATATACCTATATACTTTAAATATAAATATGGTTTTATATTTACCGTTTTCTTCTGCAAGGCTTCAAAAACTCGTGTGTATGATTACACTCACAACACACCTCAGCTGGGATAGGCCACGCTGTAAGCGCTTGCAGTCTAGATACTGCCAGGATACAGTCGGGGACAAAGTAGAATTGTAAGCCACCTTTTAAGTGCTCATTAACCACGTGTGGCTTGTGACTACTAAGCTAGGCAGCACAGCTCCAGACAGACCTCTCTCCTGCTCTTAGAGCAAGTGGTCTTGTTCAAACCACGAGTCCAAGGGCTCTCCTTAGTGATTTAGACGCTGCACTTCCGGCCCTCTGAACCTTCTAAACTGTGTCCCTGCATATAGCTCCATTCCCCCCTCTTTCCTTCTGCACTGGCCCCTGAAGTCCGTCAGTACTAACCATTAGAAGTTCCCCTGAACTCCACTGCTTGCTTACATCCTGTGTCTTTACATGTGCCCCCACCTTGTCAGCTTGTCACTGTCCTGACCGAGAAGAATGTGCTGCCCCTGCCCAGAAGCCCTTGCTAAGCTCTGGGCAGTTACGCATTCCCTTCTCTAGGCTTCCATCCTCGGACTGTGTTTCTTCTCTTGCGTATATCGTGCCAGACTGTTAACCAGTCCCTCAAGGACAGAAATCAGGATTTACTGGCACATAGTAGGTGTTCTATAAATCGACAGATGGGTGGATGATCGGTGGATAGGCAAGTAAACAAATGAACAAGTTCTAAAATCACCTACAAGCTCAGAGAGGGGTGGAGAATGGGTCTTTTGCAAATACTGTTCCATGATGTATATGCCAAACTTATTCATGGTTATAATGACGATTGTTCTGGTAAAAATGGTATCTGGGGTGCCCAGCTTTGATACACACCCTTCGTCTGGGGAATTATTCCTTTGGTAGATGAGGACTCAAGTACGTCACCATCATCTTGGTGTAAGGGTGATGACATGAATTATATGGTCAGTATCCTTCAACCCAATTGTGGCAGCTGAGGCTAGATGAATCTCAGGGTGCAGGCTCCGACAGACCCTGCACTTCTCTAGCAATGACAGTAGTGTGAGAAGTACAATAATGGCAATAAGTAACAATTGTATGATAATCTAACGTTTAATAAATTTTAGACTTACAATTTCATGCTTTGACTCAGATGGTCAGGAATGTAACTGTTTTTCTGTAACTGAATTTAACTTAGCTGTGGCTCTGTCTTTTTTCATTTAAGAGTAGAAAGCTCTTAATCTTACATTTTAGGTTGACTTGATCACTTCAGGTTAAAAACGCAAGTCTCTGGAGGGCAGTCAGTTCTCTCTCTTGATGTGGTCAGAGCCCTGCACTGACTGGGGTCTGTCTTCAGCTCTCACTGACGTCCACACCTCTGTATGTAACTCAGGTGTGTTCATGCAGAGGGGGGCTGTTGAAGAAATATTCGTAGAAGGCCTATAGGCCACTGCCAACTCTCTGCATGTAGGATTTAATCCACAAATCTCAATCTGGAAACTTTTAAATCCAGTTTATCTTGAGGTTTAAAACACCCTCAGACCACCAAACTTACCTGAAGTTGGCAGTTAATAATTTATGATGATGCATTTATCAGGACCCTTTTGGCTGCAAGTGAAAAAAAAACTAACTCAAATTCACGCAACAAAAGGGAAAAAATGAAAAGATGAAATGGACAGGAAGGGAGAGAAGGAGAAGGGTGGAGAAGGGGAGAGAAAATTTTGAGATTACATTATATAACATACTTATCAGCATTTTTTTGATGACAACTAACCAAAATCCAGCTAAAGTTGGTTTAGACAAAACAAAATAAAAAGAAATGAATTGATTCATGTAATTGAAAAGTGTGGGTTAGCTTTTATTTTGGACAGGGCTGGAGTTTGATACTCACTAGATGTCCCTGCTCAGGCAGGCAGCCCCGTGGCTCTGAAATCTCAGGCTAGTGTTCCGTCTGCTTTGTAACTCCAGTGTAAAAGGAGTGCTTCCTTCCTGGGGTTTTCAGCCAAGTTCCTGGGCTGGCCCTGATTGGCCTCCTTGGATCATTGGTTTGCCCGTAGCTGAACCAATCTCCATGACGCGAACATTCTCCTTGGCCAAGCCAGGATCCATAACCACCACCAGGCAGCCTACCTGGAATACAGAGACTTGGGAAGGGGAGGTCTCCAAAGGAAAAGCAAACTAGATTACCAGAACATAGTTTGTTTTTATTACTATTATCAGGCAGGAAAACATAACATACGTTTACTATAGATGGAAAACATCTATGTCTAAGAGGAAAGCCTGCTTGAAGTCCAAATACATATCAGAGAGTGCGGGCAACTATATGGATTCCAAGTCAAGAAGGAGGCTGTCTCTAGGCCTCCAGCCCTCAGTGCAGTATTTTTTGGGCTATTGATTATCCCGGATTCCTTCTCCTCCTTCTGGAGCCCTCGGTGGAAGGTCCTGGGAAGCTTGGCCTCTCTCTGTAGCATCACGTGCCTGGGCATTGAAGGAGGGAGGGTCTCCCATCACCATCCTAACGTCCTCCACCCACCCACCCAGTCAGCATCCTCCCCTGGTCAGTGTTCATGGGGCCAGCATGAACAGGCCGAGGGAAAGGGCCTCTGCAGTGCTGTGGAACTTGCCCTTTCGCTCCTCCTACCCAGGTGTGGGAGTGTCTAAACAAGAAGAGACACAGAGGGTGGCTTGAATGCTCTGAATAAGGAGAAAAGAGGAGAGAAGAATTTAAAGTGACCTATTTCAGTTTCCTGTTCTATTGCAGAAAAGCCATAAAATGAACCTGAGCTGTGGCTTCTCTGTAGCCTGCGTCTGGCGGGCAGGACCCTCATGTCACTCCATGTCACCGCTTAAGAGCTATAAAGCCCCATTCACAGAGCTGGTGATTAGTCACCTTGGGCCCGAGGTCATGCCGTATCCGCAATCGATAAAACAAACGACAATACCAACCAAAAGGGAAAAAACCCACTTCAATTTTCTCAAATCTCCCAAGATTTAAAAAGGAACAAAAAGTTACTGGTGTGTTTGCTGACTGGAGTGATTATGTGGTTCAATCATTTTGATTTACAATTGCATCTTTGTCCTTGTAGAAATAACTCTCTGCAGCTGAACAAGGGAGATGGAAATGGATTAACCTTCCAACATGGGCATATAAGATGCGTCCTAGGGAGCAGGCCTCCATCTGAGGTTAATGCAAAGTCTCCAGTTTCTATGAATACACAAAATTAAAGAGCATTCTTTTTTTTTCCGCCTTCATTTTCTTTTCTTTTGATCTGCCACGAAAAGGGAATTAGCAGCAGCGTCTAAGCCTCCGCTTTATTTTTCCCCTTATGCATTTTGCATCATAAAGCGCTTGAGTCTGTTTGACGTGTTCCAGGAGCTCTGAATCTTCGGCTGTTACGTGAAATCGACTTCGGAAAAATGAGAGACAAGAGGTCATTCTGGAATGTAAAGTTTATGGGCCACATTGCAAATACAATTGGCTTTTTTTACTTTCCAGAAATAAATAGACCTGAGTGTCGTCTTTGCACGTGAAAGGGCCATGACACTAGGCCAGCAATTCTCCAAGCTCGGCAGGCATCAGAGCCACGCAGAGGGCCTGTTAAAACAGAGATTGCAGGTCCCCACCTCCAGAACTTCTGATTCAGTAGGTCCAGACTGGGCCTGAGAATTTGCGTCTCTAACAAGTACCCAGGTGATGCCAGTGCTGCTGGTCCAGGGACCCCACTCTGAGAACCACCACCCTGTACTGAACACACAGAAAACTGCTGGTCTCTCCTCAACCAATCAGGGAGTAGAAGGTTGTATTCCCATGGCTCCATTACTGCCTCCAACTGCACGGGAATATGGAGGCAAGGGGGAGCCCCGCTGGCCCGGATTACTGGAATCCTTGCTGTCACACTTCAGCCTGGCCACCTGCTTCCCGAAAGGACTGTGGAAATAGACCAAGACCAACCAAGTGAGAACTAACATAAGCTTATTCAGAGCTTGCTGTCACAAGGGAGTCCGCCACCATGCTTCGCGCTTTAGCAGAGACAGAAAGCAGGCAGAGGAGTGGGAGAGCCTTATGGTGCGAAGAAAGACTGTTCTCAGATGGAGGGTGTGTATTTGACTTTGTCTCATTGGTCCTAAGTTGGAAGCAGGGACAAAATTAAGAAAATTGTCAGCTATTAATCAAGTCCTGGCCATTTTGGGGCTGATTGTTACAGAGGTCTTGTTTGTCTTCCTTGACTGTTATCTAGACAGTAACAGCCTACAAGCATGACTTGCAGCAGGCGGGCTTCCTGAGCTAGTTTCCAGGGCAGGCTGCTGCAGGTTGTGGGTCAGAGTTCTACCTGGATATGGTCTGGCCACTGCCTGTTCATACATTCCATCTTTCAGGATGCACAGTAAACACTCCCTTTTTGTAGCTTGCTAAATCCTTGGTACATTCCACACTGGCCAATTTCAATTAAAGAATGAATGATTTTCATTAAGGACCTACTGTGTGCAGAGTATTATGCTAGGCATATGAAGTTTTATAAAACATAGGCACCCAACTCGGTAAGCAGCAGTCTAAGTCATGTGGGCAGCAAGGAGAAAGATGGGGCAGATGCTGCTTAAACTGTTCCAGCACATTGACTGCAAAGGGGAGAGGAAGAGGGAGCCCAGTGTTCCTTTCCTTCCCCAGGTCAGGGAGCTTGGTCCCAGCTGAGAGCTCAGCTTTGCACCTTCACATCAAGAGTTGGCATTTTTCTCTGCTCTGCAGGGTCAGATCCCCACTGTCACATCTGAAGTCCCTCTACCCTCAGTAAACCCGCTGCTTCTCTGCTGCAGGTGGATGATCTGAAAGCCAAGCTGGCCACACAGCAAGTGGAGCTGAAGCAGAAGAATGAAGATGCAGACAAGCTGATTCAGGTGGTGGGTGTAGAGACTGACAAGGTGAGCAGAGAGAAAGCCGTGGCAGACGAGGAAGAGCGGAAGGTGGCCCTCATCATGCTGGAGGTGAAGCAGAAGCAGAAGGACTGTGAGGAAGACCTGGCCAAGGCAGAGCCGGCGCTCACAGCAGCCCAGGCAGCCCTCAACACCCTCAACAAGGTAGGAGGAACGTCTGGGTGCCTGCTCGCCCCTGGGGAGGAGCAGTCTCCCCTGACCCGGAGGCATCCCAGGACCCTCGTGTTCCAAAGAGATACAGGGCCAAGTCAGGAGGACTTGGCTGGGATCCAGCTGTCACTGGTTTAGTCATTAAGCAAACAAACATTTATTTAAGCTGATTATATGTCAGGGTCCACGGGCTACCAATGAAATCCCAGAGAGGTGAGTCTGAGAACCGATCAGGACAGGAGAGGCCAACCGGTCCAGCCTCCCCGCTTCACAAGTGAGAAAGCCAGGGCCCAGAGGAGAACTGACTCACCCAGAGTCACAGGCCTCAATATTAGAGCCAGACTTAACTCACCTCTTCCAAATCCAAGCCCAGAGATCTTCCAGCTGTGCACCCGATGGTCATTTCACCCATTATGTACCAAAGGACGCACCAGCCTTTTAAAGCCCTATGAAAATGTTTAAGATATGAGGCTACAATAAGACATGGTCTCCAAGATATAAGAAAAAATCTACAAAATCAGATTTGGCAAGTATCCGGTTGTCACCACCATGTAACTGTGTGTCAGTTAATCTCAGCGTATATACATGACCGTTCAGGGCACAGCCATGACTCAAGATGTATTTAGGGCAGGGGTTTGTTTGTTTGTTTCCCTTAAGTTTATTCTGTGTGTTGGGGGAGCATGTGGTTACTACTTCTTCCTTTTAGAGTTTTGCCAACTAACCTTCCTTCCCATTTGGGTGACCATGACTGAGGGGCTAAGGAAGAAAGGCAGTAAAGGGGGCAGACAGACTCGTGGCATCAGAGAAGGACTGGAAAGCTGACCGTCTATCAGGATGTGCACACAGGCTCTTTGGAGACCTCCCGCCAGTCACTGGGTCTCTCCCCTGCAGGATGCTTTCTCCTCCTTCTCCTGAGAGTCTAGCTGTTCACCTTTCACATGGATCACTTGTTGGTCAGGGACTAAGACAACCTATGTTAGGTGTGTTGTGTGCACAGCTCCCCTCCGCTCCACGGGAGACATCTGTGCCTCCCTTCTCCAGACAGGCGCTGAGAGCGCCAGCCACCCACGCGGTGAACTGCCCCTCGTTCCACCATCGGGGGACTAGCCAGCTGTTCTCAGCATGTCGATTTGTGGGGTGTAAGCTAGACCCCAGTCCACTGTGTCACTCAAATTGTGGGGGAAACATTTAAGCTGAGTAGTCTCTGTGAAGCTCTCTCTCTAGACCTGATGTGGAAAGGGCCGATGCCCCACTTCCTCCCTCAAAGGCACAGTGGGCGGGACTCACCAGCAATTCTCACTAAAAATTCTCTCTTCGTCTTCGGTGTCCTGACTCTTTGATACCCTCATTGCAGGGGAAAGGTTTGAGTCAAAGCACTTCTTTCATTAGTTCTATGCAGCCATCTCATACCTCCCTTTGGAAGGTAGCATCTCTTGGCTTAGGGCCCAGTGAATCTGAGACTATATTGGGGACATTGTAAAGTGTATAGTTATATATAAATTGCATTTAATGTGAGATATGAGTGCATTTTAGTATTTTTTTTATGATATGGAATGAGAGTTCCCTAATAGTGAGTACCTAAAAAGCCTTAAATGGGCCTCTACCCTCCATCAATAGGGAACACAAGATTTCTCCAAGAAATTTGTGGTTATCGTCAGGTAGGCTGGGAAGTGGAGGTATAGCCCACTTATGCCACCACTTCTCAGTCTGGACCTTTTAATCCAGCCAGGCCAGCCTCTCCCTGACCCCTCGCAGCAGCATCCGTTTCAACCACTGGGCCTCTCATCAGACAGTGCTGCACTGCCACCATCTAGGAGTCCCTCTCCTTTCATCTCGTTCTGTCTAAATACTGCCCATATTTCAAAATCAAACTTACATTCAAGATCAATCTCTCCCCTTTTTTTTTGATTTCCAGAGCACAAAAGAGAGACCACGTTATTTATGCCCCCTCATGGAGTATTCAGTGATCATTTCTTGCCGAGAAGATGAATGTCTTTCATAAGATCTTTTGACACAGGATCATATTTTCTAAGATGAGCTGTTTCCCAGTACTGGCTAAACTATTCACTCTGTGTGGCTCTAGGGATGGTTTTGTCTTCGCTGAGCCTCCATTTCCTCATCTGTAAAATGGAGGTAATAGTCCCCACTGGGTTGGTACAAGGATTAAAGGAGATAACGCACGAAAAGCAGCTGAGAGTTGGCAGCCAGTCAGTAAGCGTTTGTTGTCGGTGATGGTGTCGTTGTGACCGGTGACATCCCTTCCATTTGCTTCCACAAGGCTGGAAACAGCGAGAGCCCATGAAGTACTCTTGATTAGTTCGCTGGCTCGTTACTTGATCGTTATTAGTAGAAATAAACACTTAGAGATGAAACTCATGGAAGTGATGGGAAAGGATTCTGAACATAGCACTGGACTTGAGGTCTAGCTGCCTCTGCCACAGAGGAAGTGAAACTCATTTTTCACGAGTGCCTATGTCATACTGGACAGTGTGATGCGTGCTGTCTTCTGACTGGCTGTGTACCCTGGCACAAGTCACTGGAGTTCTTGACCGCTCACTTTCTCTTCTCTGTTACACAGAAAGGGGCAAATAAGAATTAATGGGCTCTTCATCTCACACTCCCATCCAGTCTCTTAGAAAATTGTGTCCATTCCACCTTCAGAATATATCCAGAATTCAGATGCTTTGTACCGTCTCTACTGTGACCACCCTGGTCCCAGCCACCATCACCTCTTCATCGGACTATTACAGTAGCCTCTCAGTTGGCTCCTTGTTTACATCCTCGCTCCAGTGCTGTGTCAAATTTTTCTACATTCACAGGACTGTGGTATTTAAGGACCACTTCCCTATTTTCTCATCATTTTCGAAGTTAACAATAAATCTTTAGTTAATACATAAAGAATACCTGTAAATCAGAGTGTGGCAGTGAGTCTCTGCACATTTTAAGTCTCTGCTTTGGCAGTTTTATTTCACTTTTATAGCTCAACTGAAATAAATCCAGAATAACTTTTCCTGCCTTTAGTTGAAGAATGGTTTTGCTTGCAATTTCATGGCTTTTTTTTTCTCCCTACAAAGTTACTTGGCATTTTCTATTTATTTCCTATGTATTTCGTAGAGTAAGCTTATTTTTTTATTATACAAATAACATACAATGGCACTTTTACCATTAAAACTAATTCAAGTCATATAGAATGTATAGGGTAAAATATAAAGTTGCCCTCCTTTGCACTCCAGCCCCAGTCCTCTTCCAAAAGAGGACTCCTGGGATAATTGAAGCTGTACCTAGTCCAGCAGTTTTTCTGTGTATTTACATTTGTGCAAAGGCACATGTAAAATCTATCATATTTAAGTGCAACTGGGTTACGGCAGCTTACTTTTCCTCGCAAAACAAGGCTGTTCGTGCCGATACATACTTTGAAACCTTATTTAGTGCTTTATAGTATTCCATGCAGTCATTGTACTTCACTTTATTTGGCTATTTATCTATTGTTGTGTATTTTGTTTCTCTCTTTTTTTCCAATACAAATATCCTCGTGCATACAGCTGCACTACATACATGCAAATATTTCTTTGAGCCAAGTAAGAAATATAGTGGTTTGGAAGAACAACATGGCAGGCTGAATAATGCCTCCTCCACCCCCAAAGCTGGTCACGTCCTGATCCCTGGGATCTGTGTTTTACTTCATATGGTAAAAGTGACTTTGTAGGTGGATGATGTTAAGGATCTTGCAATGGGGAGCTTATCCTGGGTTATCCAGGTGGCCCCTAAATGCCATCACAAGGGTCCATAGAAGAGGGACAAGGAGGTCAAAGGAAGAAGAGAGTGAAGTGATGACAGGAGCAGAGAGGGTGGAAAAGCTGGTGTGATGTGCGGTCATGAGCCAGGGAATCAGCCAACTCTGGAATCTGGGAACGGAAGGAACAGGATCTTCCCTTCAGCCTTCAGGAGGAGCCCTGCCCACGTCTTCAGTTTAGGAATCCTGACCTCCAGAACTGTGAGGTAATACATGAATGTGTTTTAAGTCAGTGAGTTTGTGGTAATTTGTTACAGAAGCAATAGGAAACGCACGTAAACAATATGCTCTTTTTTAATAAATAATACCCAGTTTCTGTCCAAAATAGCTGTTCTTGCTTATAGTTCTACATACTGCTTTCCCCACATCCTTGCCATTATAATTTTTCTCAATAAGAAAACAAAAAATTTTTATTAAAAAATGTTTAAATAGTTTGATTCTAATGAGACTAGGTACTTTTTAAAATATTTAGATTCTTCTTTTGTCTGTTATTTTTTCAGATTCTTTGTCCATTTTCTCATGAGATAATTTCCCTTTTTCTTATTTACAGTTTTTTAAAATAAATTTTCACTATTATGTCTTGGTATATATGTTGTTAATATTTTCTCCTATTATTTGACTTTTAACAAGTTATATAAAAAGTAGATTTCATAATCAAATGATTTTGAGAATTCTAGGGTTACAGAGTTTAACCAATTTCTTTCCTACAGGACTTTTTGAGACCTTTATTATGTGATAAGCTTGATACTAAAAGTAGTAGAGAGAGCACAGAAAAATAAAACCTCAGATTAATCGAATTTATGAACAGTGGTGTAAGACATCCATATGAAATGCTAGTAAATGAAATCCAGCAATTTATTCAAACAGTAACATGTACCAACTGGTAAGTTTTCCATATGTAATCCTACACCTATGAACATACCCAGCCGTGGTCAAAGGGAAAAGCTCTGTTGTCATCCTGAGAGATGTCAGAATGGCCCTTAACACAACCCAGCATCCATTCCTATTAAAACTCTTATTAAAGTAGGAGCAAAAGACTATTTGGATATTTTACTAACACACAGCAATCAGTCCCAGTCCAGGAACAAAACATCCTGTCTGATGGTAGAGCATTAGCGAAATTCCCATTAACATAGAAAAAGCGCAATAACGACCACTTCACTACTATTATAAACCAATTGTCCTAGAATTTCTAGCCAGTGCAATAATAAATGAAAAATGGTAATCATGTAAATGTTGTAAAATACCAGACAAATGTATTATTATTCATGGATGTCATAAAAATATAATAAAACAAATAAAAGGGAAGGGTTAAGGGCCCATTACAGAATTTAATAGCTTTCCTGATATCAGCAGTAGCCAGTTAGAAAATTTATTTTCAAAATAGCAACCAAAACACACAGTAAAAATAAGCATAGATAAATGTGTTAAAACTATGTAATGACAACTACATATTTTTTTGAGTAGTATAAAATATGAATAGGCAGATAGGTGTACCAAGTTTGGTCAGGGAAGATTTAATATTATAAGGATGTCACTACTCCTCAAATAATTTATAATTTAAATGTAAGTCTAATTTAACTCCAGTTTGATTTTTGGCTTATTTATGTCTAATGTCATTAAAAGGTCGTATCATTTAGCCAGCTATTAAAAATTTAATAACCTAAGTGCCCAACAATATGGAGTTGGCTAAATAAATTATGGCTAATGTTATGATACCATTTTCAACCTCACATTGAAAAAAAATGTAATAGTGTTACCAGATGTTGAAAAGAATGAGAGTGTATACAGATCCTCTCAAACACTGATGACTAGTATTGAAATTCCTGGAAAATAATCTGGTAATGTGTACAAAGAACATTAAAAATGTTCTTATCCTTTGACCCAACAAATCCACTTCTAGGAATGTTATCCTAAACAACTTATCTAAGATTTTCACAAAGATTTATTTGGAATGCCCAGCAAAGCATTATCCATATGGTAAGTTTGTGGAAATGACCTAGGTTTCCAAACATTGAAATTTGATTTATGCCTCATCCCTCTGATGGTATACTGTCTCCAAAAACCCTGTTGAAGAGGAATAACCAGTGACTTTCTGTCAGACCTCTTTTTAAAATGATCAGTAATTTCTGCTTGTACTATCTCCGAAATATGTCCCAAATCCAGCCCCTTCTCACCATCTCACCAGGAAAGCCTTAGCCCAGCGGCCGCAGCCTCCCGTACTCGTCCTCCGCGTGCAGGCCTGCCCCACCACGGGTTTCCTCACGGCAACTCCCTCTCAAAGCAAACCCTGTCATTGCAGCCCCTGCCCACAGCCCTCCACTGCCTTCCCGCTGAAAGCAGAAGAAAATCAAACTGTCCAGTGGCTCTGGGCACCCTCGCTGTCTGGCCGGCCTGCCTCTCCTCCCCGCCGCTCCTGGCCGCCAGGCCTGCACAGCGGCCAAGCTGCTTCCGCAGCCGGACCATGCGCTTGCAGGTCCGCGTGCCTGCAGCAGCCCCCTGCGGACTTCTGTAGCCCTGCTTCCTTCCTGTCGCTTACATCCCAGCTGACATGGCATGCAGTCCCAGTGGCCTTCCCAGAGCTCCCCCCGAGTGACAGTGGTGTCATCGCTCCCCAAGAATCCACTATTCCATTAGCCCTCTTTCTTCTCAAAGCACCTCTCAGTTTCCAGTGTATCAAAGGTTGGCTTCTTTTTTTGCCCACCTCCCTGACCTAAATGAGCAAAAGGACTTTCCGTTTCTTATTTACCGCTCTGTTTCCATGTGCCAAATGAATGACTGTGCAAACACACTCATGCACTCAGCAAAGACTCCCCAACTGCCCTTTGGGCCAGGTGCTGCTCTGGGTGCACATGATGCACCCATGAACGAAGACCCTGCCTCTATGAAGATAATATTCTAGCACAGCTGAGCGGTGAGAGACAAGAAGCATCACGAGAAAGCAATGTTTACAACGCGTCAGAGCATGACAGATGCTGCAGAGAAAAGAAAACCATAGAGCAGATTCGGGGGGAGCTCTGGGGCCAGGGCCGCTGGGGAGGAGAGTGGAGGAGGCAGGAGGTTGCAGCATGAAAGAAAGTGTGAGCCTCCTTGAGAAGGAGAAATTTGAGTACAAACTTGGAGAAGAGCAAATTCATCAGGCAGACGCCTGGGAAGAGCAGTCAACGCCAAGGCAGCAGCTAGAACAAGAGTCTCGAGGCAGGAAGGGGAGCCTGCCT